GTCTAAAAAATGGTACTGGCCCTTTTTTCGATTTTGTTTGAATGGTGCAGTAGTAAACATGTGGTATTTGTATCGAAGATGTTCGACGAACGGGGCGATGCCACTGTTAGACTTCATAAGAAGAATTGTTCTATCCATACTATTGTTCTTCCATACTATTGTCAAAAATTCCTAACGAAATTCGATTGGATGGCAAAAATCACTTGATCGACAAAAACGAAACTCAAAGGCGATGCGCAAAATGTGGAAAATGTTGTAAATTTGTGTGTCTGAAATGCAATGTCGGACTTCACCCAGATTCCTGCTTCCGTTCATACCATGAGATATAACTTTCCGCACGTACTCTCATATGTTTCAATGAATGTTTTTTCCATTATTAATTGATTTTGCATATCTTAGATTCCCACCGTACGATATATCATACATCAAAAAATTACACTTATATCTGTCAAATGAAGAAATGACAATATTCAATTATGAAAACAAAGGTGAAAGAACTCTCGAACTATTTCATTTCAGGTTTATTTTGGTTAATATAATTGTTATTTTCAGCTATTCATTTTCAATTCTTTTTTTTTCTTTTTTTTTATTTGTTTCAGAGATTTCAAATCATTTTATATAGTAGACAATGGAAGTCCGAACTAGTGAAACTCGTTAATCCTTATATCACACAATCTCCGACTATTGAGGATTGTCGTTTGTATTGACAGGATAACAAAAAACTCAGTTTCACTGTATTCATCAGGTCAATAAATCAGAGTTTGGAATTCGAAAAGGTTCTCGTAGGTTCTAACGTCTCCATTTTATGAATTTAATGTACCTATTGTATAAAGAGCCAACTGGAAGTGATGAGATATCTCATTTCTTATAGTGGTAGTAACGTTCCAAGTACAAATGAACGTCTCTTTATTACCCAACTATAAGACAACTGAAGATATAAAGCGAATCATAAATCTCTTTCAAGCTAGAACGACGTGATTTCATGACCCGTAAGGTATCCCGGAAATTTAATTTCGCCATTGGTTTATTTCGAATATAGGACGGCGCGGCGTGAATAAAGTTCTTTTAGCTTTCAGACGATATATTGGGAAATTCTATCTTTCAAACAATGATCGCTAACTCTTCCAGAAACTTCCAAGACAAAAGATGTGAAATTTCACCTTTCACCATCAGATTAAAAGATTTCATCTCCTCATATTGTGTTCACGTCAAGGCGGAAATCGCTGTCAAGTGGAAGT